ATTTTACTTTTCTTATAGTCACCAAAGATGACTAGTAAGAACATTGTTGAAAGAGTACATAATTTTAGGACATACATATCTCAGGTCAAATAATTGTGAGTTTGAATCTCTCCCTTCACTCCACACGTTGTACTAAAAAATATAATTTTACTGTACTCAGATGTACAAATAGGTAGCTAGGCGTATGTAGTCTTGATCGAATCTACTGCCTAATTGGTTTAGCTTATCGATGTTCTTGAGTCCAATGAGGATAAAGAGGATGGCCCGACTTGTTTAGCATTTTATAGGAGTAGATAACAGCGGGAAAAACTATGAAATATTAGCGTGAGAGAGCAAACAAGGAGCAGAAGTCGACCCTTCCCCCACCATAATAGCACCACCTAGCTTCGCTGCATCGGTCTCGTAGTAGAGTGATCATGATAGGGATAATGAAACCAATGATAGAGTTGACCTARCCTAGCGACATCCATCCCTTGTCTCCGATTGGAAGATAGAGACTACTTCATGTGCAACTTCAACATCTCCTGCCAACGGGTAGGTCTTCGAATAGGAATCCATTTTCTAAAAGATTCTGGCTTTCGTGCTTTGGTGGGTCTCCAAGATCCTTTCGATGGCCTAACCAGACATGCTCGGAATCTTTTTTTTCCATCTGGGGAAGTTATTGCTCTTTCACCTCGTAAATTCGATAAAGCGGCTTCGCTCCTCACTTTTGTTCAATTATAAATAAATAACCATTTTGATGGAGATTTGTAGCATCATTCAAGTAAATACAAATTGAGACCCACAAAACAAATATAGTTATCCAAACATTCCTATATATCCTTATAAATATTTATATCAAACAAACACGACCTCTTAAAGATGTCAAATGTTTATAATTTTGAATATCTAATTGTTCGAGCATCTAAAGATTATCAAGTATTTAGATTTTCGAAAAACAAACCACCACAAGATACATTTTGTTAATTGAGTTGAAAACGATTCATGATTAAACTAAGTGAGTTTGACATATCAATTCAAAAGAATTAGAAAAACATATCACTATTCACCGATATAACTTAGCTCAGTGATAATTGACACTTGTATCTGATCAAGCGATTATGAATTCGAATTCCCCACCCCACTTGTTGTACTAAAAAAAAAGTTCAAATTTCAAATTCTTCATCAATGCTCCCATTCTACCTCCACTCCATATTCTAGTCTATTTCATTCGTCAAAAGAGATTGTTTCTAAAACAAGTATCTCAACGTTGAATTCCCCACCTATACATATTGTTGTATTCAAAAAAAGAAATCACTAGTAATGGGAGAGAGGATAGATATGGAAGGAATTCAAAATATACTACATTCGTAGATGATATTAGTGGTAAGAAAAAAGATCAAATATGGAAGATTTTTTAAAACTTAGACTAATATGTGAACGAAACACGAAAAGCCTAGTAAAATCAGTCTAGTTCAACCAAAGTCCTATGAACGACCCAAAAGGTTGAACCTTAAGATATGAATCTAGTAGGTCATACTAGTGTGTCAAGCTCTATGTGCCCAGTCTACGAGACAAGTCCCTTGGACTGACGCTATTTTTGTTATTTTGAGAGCCCACACTCGAGGAATTTAGATTTTTCTCTCTATAAAAACTGGAGATAAAAGTCGTACGTTGTTATGGTTAACACACAATCCCTAATTTAACTTAATATTAGTGTGTCTGACTAACATAATGATGTGCTTTATTTTTTTTTTATTTGCTCATGCATCTAAATCTTTAAATTATGCAAATCATATATTTTCTTGTACGAGAGAGAATAGAAAAGGTAAAAAATACCTAAAATTCTATACATATGGAAAGAATTGAAAATACACACAAATCTTGCTAAATCATTCTCAAATTAAGTGGGGATAGATGAAGGAAGAGAAAAAAAAAGAATTAAATAATCGAATGGTAAATATTTGATTCTGACAAATAGTTTTGTAAATATTTTTCTTTTATTTCAGAATACACAAAAATTTTGCAAATTATTATCAAATTGAACGGGGTAAATCGGTAAAGAAAATATGTAAAAAAATGAATAAACTAGTCGGATGATATGTAATTGTAAATATTTAATTATGAGAAGTAGCACAATTTAGGTACAGTTTTTCAGGAAATTAGTCTTCAATTTAAACGAACATTTTTCAAAATAAAAAATAAATCTATAATTAATACAGTTCCTTTTTTTAGTACAGCAATTACTATAATTAATACAGTTAGAAGCGTATTGTAGAGTAAGCACCGATGTACATTTGGTCGATGAGTTTTGATGAAAAATCTACCAAAACGAACATAGCTCGTGGTAATTGACATATATCCCCAACCAAGTGGTTGTAAGTTCGAATCTCTTTTCCAACTGACATATATTTCCAACTAAGAGGTTGTGAGTTCGTTCCTCTACCCCACATTTTCTACTAAAAAAAATAAACTAATTAGAAATATTTACAAAAAAATTAAAAAGAGAATAATTAAAATTTTGTTCTTATTTTTAAGAATAATGTCCTTTTTAGTCCTTTGTATATAACAAGTTACTGATAGGTTTTTATTAACCAAAGTTCAAATATAAACATAGCTTTAACAGTTGTAACATTTTATTTTATGTAACATTTCCTTCTTATAAAGTAAAAGACTAAACTCTTCCTCTCTTTGCAATAAACTTCATTATTAGTAGATCAAACTGTAACGAAATAATTTTTTTAAAAGTTCAAAAACTAAATAGAGAGTGAAAAACCGAGAAGAGTGACACAAGTTAAGTATCAATGAAAAAAATATATTTTTCTTCAATCAATTTATTTCATACTATCTATAATCTATAATATATTAAAAAGGCACGATCTCGGAAAAACATTTTATGACCATTATACCCTTTAATATTTACTTAATTACAAATAAATAACATTTGTTAATAATTAATTATCAATAAATAATAAATATATGGAATCTAAAAGGTTTTTCCTTTAATTACAATTCATGATAGAATTTCTAAAGTTTTGTAACTTTTCATCATCTATTACTATATAAATTTGAGTTTTCTTCCACCATTTTTGTCACAAACRCTTCTCCCTTTCATTCTTCTTTTTAGTACTCTCAAAGAATTCTTGAATCTTGAAAAACGTCTTAAGATGTTGGTGACATATTCAAGTTGTAAGGAAGCAYGTTGTTGGATCTATATCCTAGACTGGGTCGTTTCAAATCCACTTTGTGATGAGATGCTTGTTTGAGCCATGATTTGGAATGATCTTAGAGTACAATCATGGAGTTGAAGTATCAGAGATTACTAGATGTATACTACCAAGAAAACTGGTGACTTCAYAATTGGGGAGCTAATGACTGAAGCCCTATGGTTCTTCACGTCATAATTCTCGATTTTTTATGTAGTTAYAATAATTTTCTTTGTTTGTTGACCACAATGCCAATATATATATATATATATTTTTGGTGGTATTACATTGATTTCATGTGATGCAAATGACTTTCTAAAATTCTACCCTATTGAATAGTAATATTGGTCSATCAATTATAAATGGAGAAAATAAAAAGAATGAGTCTATAGCTACAAAATTAGATTTTTTTTGTTTTTTATCTTTCTTTTATAATTAATGTGATTTTTTATTTAAAATGTTTGGTGAAGAATCAATAATTTATTGATAATAATTACAAGCTTTTCTTATTTTGTTTGGAAAAAAAATTGTGTCCTTACCAAGTTTTTAATTAATTATAAATAGTAAATTAATTAATTAATAAATTATCAAGAAYAATCCATCTAAAAAGTTGGAATACAATTTTTTTTTTCATTTAATTCATATGGAAGTTAAAGGATTTTAAAATAATAAGTATAATTATAATATGAAATCAAATAATTAAAATAATTTTTCTTTATTGARGTTGAAAATTTTATTATACGATGTTAAGAAAAAAAATAGGTTGAAAAATCTTTATAATTTTAATTGAACAAGCAACGTGTAGTTCAAAAAAATAAGGATCCTAAATTATGTGAAATAAACTTCTCAAAATGAGAATATAAAAAATTGTTATACTAATAATAAGAAAATGTGAAGTAAAAAACAAAAATAAGAAAATGTAACCTAAACTTCRTTAAAATTGTTGTATATGATACTGCAATTTATGTGCACTCAAAAATATTAAATGAATAGAATATGAAATGTTAGAARGTAAAAAGTTACGCATTCAATGTGCATCAATTAATTATTTCTAAATATTTGTATATATTTATATTTAATTGTAGAATATGAAAGTTTTGGAATAACAAAAATTTTAATTTTTTCACTCACTCAAACTATGAATTTCCATGTTCAATTTATTTCCATAGCAATTTAGCAMTTTGAAAGCTTTATGTTAATAAAATTAAGAAAAATAATTAAGAAATTTAAACTGTATTTACTAATAATAAACAAGAAAATAGTTTAAAAAATGTGAACAATATAGAAAATGTAAAACATCAACCAATTATAATACATAGATTAATTTAAAATTTAATAAGATAATGTAAAACATCAGCAAATTATAATACATAGATTAATTTAAAATTTAATAAGAATATTGATGATTGATTTAATTCATATTTTATGTTTGAATATCATTTTTTAATTTTTAACATATTTTATTAATAATAATTATCTTTAATCTTATATTTTTACAATTACATTGATTATATATATATATATATATATATATAACAAACTTATGATATTTTTACAAACTTAAAGCACTTAGTTAAATAAATTATTTTTATAATATATGGAATCAATATTTTTATTACGTGTATTGCACGTGGTATTGCACTAGTAAAATAAAATGTTTTGAACTCAATATAGCTCAACAAGTTAAAATATATATTTTCCATAAAAAGTTTCTAAATTCAAATTCTGACTTCTACGCCCTATTAAAAAAAAGAATATATATATAATAAAATAGTTTGCTTTAGGTTTATAACGTTAACTTGTTGGTCTCTCTCCACCTTGTTTGTAGCCGCGCCGAAATTTCWCTCTGATCACTCTCTCTCTCTCTCCCGCGCTCCCGCCTCTCTCCTCTCTCGCTCCTGTGTTTTCTCCCTCTACTACTCCATAGCCACACCTTCTTCATTGCCTTTCCACATTGGCCCTCAACTCTCCCCTGCTCGTAGCCGCATCGAAGCAACACTCTGCTGCATTTTCATGGACCCCCTTCTGTTACCCCTTTGTTTCCTTGTTCTCAGGTGATCTCTCAGTAGATTCCCTTGGTGGGTTTTGGAAACTGAAGCTCGTTGGCGCATTCTATGTAATTGGAGGCTGAATCACTTCTGAATGTCTTTTGGGTAATGTTCTTCATTCTGAATGCGTGGGGTGCCGTGGCTGTGGGGTTCTTTTTGTGTTTGGAATGGAATTATGGGTTTTGCTTTGAACTTGTTTGTGGATTGTTTTTGCATGTCTGGGTCTGAATGTACTATGGTAATTCATTTCATTTGGCCACTGGGCTTTTGAATTGAGATGGAATTATGAAGAAAGAAAAAGAATTGCAGCTGTTTAGTTTACCAAATGCGGAGAACTAGAATTATTTTCTTTTTCTTTTTTTTTATCTCGACTTGTGAAGAATTGAAACAATTTTTGCTTTAACTAGAAAGGCTTCATATATCTATTATTGTTTCGTACCATAAAACTAAATTGCCACCACTTGCCTCTCAGTTTGAAGGGTACGTAGTGCATTTGTTTGAACGACTAGACTGGGATGCCTTTAGATGCATTGAATTATTACAGTGAAGGTATCTTGAGATTGTGGGATTTATTTGTCCTGTTCGGCTATTTTAAACGAGATGGAGTATCAAGTTATTCTTGAGTTTACAACTTCCATGTCGAATTCAGTGCCCACTATAGTCTAGTTAAATTTGATTTCCTGATGTATCAATACATTTTCTTTTTGACTTTTTTGACAGAGTATAGCGTGCCAACTTTTAATCATTGATGGACCTCTATCTGCACAAGACAATGGATCGAAGAAAATTTTTGCATGTATTAAGTTGGAGAGTTTCTTGGTAAGTTTTAAGTGGGAAGGGCAGGGGCAGGAGCTAGTCTGGGGAGGAACTATTTCTTGGAATGGAAACTCTTAGCAAAAATAAGTGCCGGGAGGATTTAGAAGTTGAAATAATTGAATGTTCGAATGAAACTGATCCCAAATTGTATGGGAAAGAAGATCCTGATGCAACTGAATATTCAAGCTCATTTGCTGAGACATCTGATGCGGATGATTGTTCAGGATTCAGCGAAGGGGATGTGGAAACTCAATTTTTTGGAGACATCGGCTTGCCACCCGCATTTGGTTCATTTAGTAGTACACTTCCAATAAGGTGAGGTACCTTTTTTTTTTTTTGTTTCTGCATTTATAATTTATGTTTCAGAGTCATCATGTATCTTTTGTTATAAGAAAAACTACATGAAATTGTAGTATTATGTGTTGAGATGATACCATATCTTTTCACTTTTGTAAAACGTTTCACTTTGTTATGCCTTGATTGCATGCTTAACGATTTCAACAAATACCTGATCTTTGAAAGTTGAAACATGTGAACTTTTTTTTCCTACTTGAGTATGAGCTATTTAGCAACTTTCAATTTAGCTGACGTGAAAACAGAATAGTGGTTAGACTTTTTATTATGAATACAAATTAAAATCTTCTACAGTTTGAACATGAAGGAACTATGAGACTCATCAAATTCTCTGTAATCAGTTTGTTTGTGAATGCGATGAATCAATAATATCATATTAAACATCATGCAACGATTTTGGAAGAAATGGTTCTGTTGGATTGTGTATTTATTTTATGCTGCATTCCATGTTTATTCCTGCGTTTCGTGTTAAGGCTATTGCTTAATAATAGGATGGTTCTATACCTTCATACTTGAGAATGTCTGATTATAACAATGATTGTAATTTCATTTCTTCAATGAAATTTGTTTCCTATTGAAAAGTATGTAAAATAATATTTTTTATTCCAATTTGGAGGGCCATAACTGTATTAGGTACCCGAATACAAGAACCTAACAAGAACACTATATTGCAATACGAAAGAGTAATTACAATACCGATAGCCTTTCGAGAGGGTGGGTATTCTCTCCCTAGGCTACTCAGTAGCACCAAAATACCAAAATGTTCCGATGCCCTCCCCAACAAACTCCTCCCACTTAAAATAACAATTTTACTCCTTTTGTCATTATTGATTGGTTTTCACAAGAGATTGCCACTGGGTTAAGTCAACTAGATGTCTCATAAAATATTTTAGGTGTAAATAGGCAAGAATAGCCAAGCTTACACAAAGAAAAAAAAAAGCATTACATTTTTTGCTCCTTAAGTAGACAAATGGTTAGAGAACTAAAGAAGTGGAGACTGGAGGGAGATGAAACTGTATTTTCTGGATAGAAGATGAAACTAAATTCCTTGAAGCTTTTTATCCAAGATGAAACACCATGTCAACTTCTCCTTCCTTCTAGGTGGGCAATGATGAAGAAGTAGATTTTGGCAAGACAAGTGGGTGAGGTAGTTTCTTTTAGTCACCAAATTTCCTTGGCTGTTGTCTTTCGTGAATCATATGTCCATAATTAATGGATAAGGGAGGGGCTCGCAACCTTTCTTGCTATTTTATGGAATATTTGGTTTGAGAGAATTAGGATAATTTTTAGAGGGGTTGAGACTTGATAGTCCTTGGGGAAGTTTGGTCTATGGCTAGGTTCAATGCTTCCCATGGGGATGTTTGTTAACAACAAGTTTTGTAGTTATGTTGTCACTTATTATCAACAATTGATGCCTTTTTGGGTAATTTTTGTTTCTTTTTTTCCTTTGATCATGCTTCTTTTATGGTGGGCTCTTTCTTTCTTTCTTTCTTTCTTTCCTTGTTTAATTGTTTGTTTGCATTATTTTATTTTTCTGAATGAAAGCAGTTTCTATAATAAATAATGTATTTGAGATGAGGGGAGACCCAGTTTTGAAACTTGAAGTTTAGAAGAAATATGAAAAAGGATGAACCACAGATTAAATATTTGAATAGAAACAGTTTAACTACTGAATAGAAACAATTTTGGGATTTCTATAAAAAGAAGAGATAGAGGAGTTTTAGGATCGTGGAATGGAGACTGTTTTTTTAGTGCACCCATCTATTATTTCTGGAATCCTGTGATGGATAAGGTTTCTTCTTGGAAGAGAAGTATTTTTCTCTAAGGGAGGTAGACTCACTCTTATTCAGTCCATTTTGAGTGGCATCCCTACATACTTCCTCTCTTTGTCTAGGGTTTCCGATTAGTAATCCGTTGGAGAAGCTCATGAGATTTTTTTATGAGAGGGGTGGACAACGAAAAAGGGGTCTCAATTAGTTAGGTGGGAAGTGGTGACCAAATCCTGGATCTTGATAGTCTAGGCATATTAATTTAAGGGTGCGAAATGAGGCCTTGTTGGCTAGGTGGTCGTGTCGGTTTCCTCGAGAGCATAACACCTTATGGCACAAGGTCATTGTGAGCAAGTACGGTTCTCATTCGTTTGAGTGGTTCTCGGATAGGGCTTCAAAAGGCACCTCTAGAAATCTGTGGAAAGCTATTTTTGATGGGTTTCCCTTGTTTTTCTAATTTGTGCAACATAATTGTTTTTGGTAAGACAAGTGGTTGGGGGATAGAGTCTCTGCTACTTGTTTCCTTGTTTATTTCATTTGTTGTCTAAGAGGAACCACTTGATGGCCTCGATTCTTCCCGTCTTTGGGAGTTCGTCCTCTCTAGACCTTGGATCCGGGATAGACTCCTCTACTATTTGTTTCCTTGTTTATTCTATTTGTCCTCTAAGAGGAACCACTTGATGGCCTTGACTCTTCCCTTCTTTGGGAGTTCGTCCTCTCTAGACCTTGGATCCCATCATCCTTTGTCCAATTGGGAAACAGCGAATATTGTAACCCTTAAATCTACGATTGGGAACTTTTTCAGTTTTCTCCAGGAGAATGGATTTAGGCCTCTGGGCCTTAAATTCTCTTGTTGATCTTTAAAAACACTGCTTGGTGAATCCCTCACCCTCCAGCAACTCTGTCTTCTCCATGCTGTGGAAGATCAAAACTTCTAAGAAGATCATGGTCTGATAGGGTCATGGTGTTGCATCCTCTGTTGGAGAGCGCTAGAGGACCTTGATCACCTCATGTGAAGTTGTCATTATGGTTATGTGATTTGGAGTTGCTTCTTTTACATGTTTGGTTATAGTTTGGTTTGGCCTAGAGGGTGTAGTTTGATTGCAGAGGAGGTCCTTCTTCATATGCCCGTTTGTAATAAGGGTCGTTTTTTGTGGTTTGCCTGATTTTGTGCTTCTCTTTGGTGTATTTGGGTTGAGAGAAACAATAGAATCTTTAGAGGGATTGAGAGACCTTGGGGGAGGAAGGGACCCGGTCCTTGTTAGATTCCATGTTTCTCTTTGGGCTTTAGTGCTTAATGGCTTTTGCAGTTATCCCTTAGGTATGATTATGCTTGATTGGAGCCTCTTTTTTTAGTTTGGTTCCTTTTGAGTTTGGGCTGTTCTCTTTTCTCCCTTGTAGTCTTGCGTGGTTTCTCATTAAAAAGAAAAGGTTGGAATGCCCTATTGCTATAGATGGATTGCTGCTACACTTTCTGCGACCATTGAAAGAAATATGGGACAACTTCTTTCTGGAAAATTTTGATAGTATAGCAAAAATTCTTGAGACAAATGCAAGAGCTGCTCTATGGGGTTTGTGGCCTGTAAGGAACCATAGATGGGGGAAATAGTTGGGATTTTTCATCAGTTTTCATTTTAGCAAAAAGATCATGGAATTAAATGTTCAATGAGTTCAAGTTGTCTTGGTGCTGATACAATAATACTAAAGACTGCTTAATTCAACATTTTAATGGCTCCTCCTACTCGAGTGCTGACACAGTAGGGGTGATGGAGTAATGAGTATCTAAGGTTAATTTGGAAAGAAAGGAACACCAATTGCAGTTTTTATTATTTATTGTTTTTTTTTTTTGTTTTTGGGTAAGATTGGTTTCATTTTGTACTTCTGATGTGACAAGTTCGTTTCTTATAAAAAGAGAAGGAAAGCTCCTCCTATGTAATTAATACTAGTTGAAGTGGTTTTGTAATTCTCCTTTGGGGAGAAGGGGTTTTGTTGGTTTGGTTATTTCTTTTCACTGTAGGAATGAAAAAAGTCTCTTGTTTCGAGAGAAAAAAAAGTCTGAATGCGTATCTTTGATGATCATGGAATATCTGGCATTCCTTAGACCCTTATGGTAACATGAAGATGTGGAATAACGAATAACATCAACCATCTTGATCATTATTTTGTTTCTAATTCAGAATAGCTATTCAGGCAGGTAACTTAATCAGATTTATAATTATATTCGAAGTGATTAAACGGTGTACCTCACCCTTCTGTAGGAAGCGGAAGTTAACTAGTCACTGGCAAAACTTCATCCGCCCTCTAATGTGGCGCTGCAAGTGGACAGAATTGAGAATTAAGGAACTTGAGTCACAAGCATTAAGATATTCCAGAGCGCTTGCAGTGTATGAACAAGGAAAAAGTTCATGGCTCGATCCAACAGTGGAAGAATTTTCTTCAAAAGAATTGCCATTGTCTAGCCAATATTATAGAAGAAAGGCGATGAAGAGAAGAAAACGAAAGAGAGTTGAAGATACAAATGATATATTATCCTATATGACACAGCATAACCTTTTCTCCTACCATGGTACCAGCTTTAAGCTCATAGTAATATCTTCTGGTTTTGTCACTTTCCTTCTCTTCCATCCCATTTTGCTCCCTCTAAATGAATTGATGTGTCATTTGGTAACATTTGCTTTTTAATACAGAAAATAAGAGATCTGAACTAGATGGTATTCCCGTAGCTGATGAATTTGCTAATCCAGGTAAAATATTTCTGCCGTTACCTATATATATTATCTGCATGGCATGCAGTCTTTTCTTGGTTATGCTAGCCGATGGGAAGGTCAGGCAAGGCACTTGCACTGGATATTTGGGCGTGGCGAGTGGTATACTGAAGAAAGGCAATCTTTAATTATTTTAGTGCATTGGACTCGAAAACCTTCTTTTCTTTTTCATTCATTTTATATATATATATATATATATATATTTTATGAACGAGAAACAAATTTTTCATTGATAATTAAAAAGAAAGATCAAAGAGACCATTCCCATTTGTTCAAATAATAATATATTTATGCCTACTCGTAGTTTAGTGCATTTAACTAAATATCCTAGATCTTTATGCCCAATTGAATACTTTTTTTCTTTTTAGGAACTCAATTGAGTACTTAATGTTATGTTATCTAATTTTGATCTCTATTTTATTATATTTTTTTAAAAACAAGCCATTTTACTCGGTTGACGCAATTGTTTGTCACTCACGTGCAACAATTAAGAGGTTCATCTTCTCCTGTGAATAAGAAGGCAACCCCTTCAGCCTCCTTTCTTTTTTCTTTTTTTTTTGTTTTGGGTGGAAGGGGGTTTGCATAAAATGTTCCATACTTAAATACCTTTACACTGAAAGTTTGCTATCTGTTATTATTCGGTCAGTGAAAGTGGAGAAAAATGCTGATTCTGATGACAAATTTGGGATTAATAATGACTCTGTTCTCGAGTTCAGAGAGAGTAATAGTTCTTTGGAGCAAGTGCTCTGGAAAATTGAAGCGGTGCATTCTCGACTCCACAAGCTAAAAGGTCAAATGGATATGGTGATGTCCAAAAATGCTGCAAAATTTTCCTCCTCAGAGAATCTGAGCCTTCTTGCACCTTGTGAGGCACAGACCAGCTCTGCTCCTACTCCTACATTCTCTGCTGGAAACGGAGAAATATCGGTTGGAGTAATGTACGCCTCAACTCAACATATATCAGAGTGTGATATTGGTGATTTAATGAAGCCCGAAAGTGCCATTTCAAGCTATGGGGAAGCAATTCTAGTTCCTGATATTATTGAAAGTACAGTAGGCCTTTTGACTGCTACTGATGTTTCGGTTCCTCAACCACAAATTGGGGACTCGACTGAGGATGTAAGAACACTTGATGTTGAGCTGATTAATTTGTCTTCTTACATGTCATTTTCTGGTGACTGTAATGCTAGAGACAATTTTTGGTGTTAGCTGCAAAATAGGTTTGCTTTTTTCTTTATAATTTTGTATGTTTATATACAAGAAATTTGAAATGGTTATTTTTTTCCCCAGTTGCTGTAAAATATCATATTTGTAAAAGTGAGTAGATATTAGATTGTATGAATTTTTCTGAACTTCCTTCTACCCTTTCCCTCATCTCAGTTGTCAAATTTTCTGGACAATTTTAGTCCCTTCTTTTGATCTCGTTGACACACTGCATGTCTGTGAAATGCAATTGACCTGTTTTTACCACTTGTTTTCATGAGACTAGGCATGTTTAGCTCTTAAGAAGCTATATTGTACATTTGGATTTCTTTGCCTCATGGTCACTTCCCTTTTCGTTACCAATAAATCAATAGACTCCTGCTTTCTAACATCGGGAACTGACCTTCACAGATTGTCGATAATGTGCTGATACATAATGAGGTGGCTGAAGCAGAGAGAAACACACGTAGCAGGATTGTTGTGCAACCCGTGGAAAAGCACCGAGAACCCGAAAAAAGCAAGCTAGGTGAAGGCACTAGTCTCAATTCAATTCCGACTACACAATCTGATCCTATGGGAAAAGCTGTGGTCTGTGAGGAACAATCAACTCTAAAAAAATGTTTAGCTTCAGATATCAACTTCCCTAGGAACAAGAGAAAGCGAGGGGAGCGAAAAGCAGGCCCTGGTAGCTGGAACAAGAGACATTCAAGCGAACCCGATAGCCAGTAAAGTGATGTCAGCTATCTATTAGATGATCTGGAGCTGGGCAGACGTAAATTCTCCACTTCTCTATTAGCCATTGGCATAGGTACGTAATGACCAGTGATCATGTTTGTCTTATTGAGCTGCTTCCGTATATGGGTTAGAGAGAGATCCTGAGTTTTGCTCTTCTGTATGAGTTCTACTTGTATCATGTTTATTAGGAACTGATCTCTCTGGTACGCTGTTTTAAATCTAAATAAGATAGTTTTTTTTTTCCCAACTTTTCATACCTGGAATTACTGATCTACTTGAGTCAAGTCATATGTTCTAAAGGATTTTCCTGTTTAAAAATCCATTTTTCCATTAAAAAATAGTTTTATTTGCGTTTAAATAGTCTTTTGGTCCGTCTTTTTGTCCTTGTAATTTTAACTTTGGTTTATTTTAGTCCCTATACTTTCAATACGTCCATTTTGGTTCCTATACTTTCAACTTTTATTAATTTTAGTCTTTGTACATTAGTAACATTCATTTTGGTTTCCGTACTTTAAAAAAGTGACCATTTTTATCTATTCATTTTCATTTTTATCTCATTTAGTTCGATAAAAATTTTAGCAAGACACTTTACTTACTAAATTTTTTGAGACATAGTCATAAATTTGCATTCAAAATTTATCATTGTGTATAAAATCTGTGTTCAAATTCTTGTCAATAGAGACCAAAATAGTCACTTTTTAAAGTACAAGGACCAAAACAAACGTTTTGCAAATACAAAAACTAAAGTAAACAAAAGTTGAAAATATAGGGCCTACAGAGACCAAAATAAACCAATGTCAAAAGTAGAGGGACCAAAAGAATATTTAAACCTTTTACTTGACTGCAAAGTAGGAAAGATCATCAGATTCAATGGAAGTTGTGCATGCGGTCACATATTTAGGATATTAAATATCATACGAGTTTAGCTAAAAAACCAGTATCTTAAAAAAAAACTTGAATGGTTGTTGAATTTGGGTGCTAGATACTCATATTACCAAGCTTTGTAGTGCCTTTATTTGTTGGCATATTGATTGCAGACTTGTTATATGATATGCAAAATCTATAATCATTATGTCTTATACTCTTTTTAAGCTACTTTTTAGTTTCTAGGGTGTGAATCTGAATACGATAGCCTACATAAACTGCATCATTACATTACATTGGTAAGCCATTGGCAGAAAGACTAGGTCATGGACCACTACATCCTCATTTTGAGCATTTTTGATAAATATGATCAGGTAAACATATGATTATCAATCATTTTCTGAGCTGAAAAGCCTGGAATGACATTTGAGGCAGAAACATCTTAGTAGTTGGCTGGTGATTCTGATTCTCATCGTTATATATTTGGACATTGTTAAATTTACATCATTATGTGTCGGTATAGAATACAGACATCGATGAAAATATTGATAAAATGTTGATTTCAATCGATATTTCTAGAGGATATAAAATGTCTTGATCTGTGTATTTTATGTTGGTTATTGACAGACATTACTAGTCCTGGAAATAAATATATATGTTTATGTTTTGCAAAGGATTATTTCCATTGTTCACATCATGCCACTCAAAAAGAGCTGTTAACAAGTTTTGAGTTTCAATATGGTTTAAAAATATTATTAGTCTTTGTACTTGTATCTTTTTTAACATTTTAAAATAGTACTGCTCTGAGTACGTCACTCACAAAATATAATATATTATATATGTTGCAATTTTTTTTAATCGAGTTACAATCATCACATAAAAAATTTGTTCGAAAAACAACATCGGCATGAAATATAGGCAAGTGAACGAAGTCGATGGATCTCCTACCATTCAAAATCAGATTTTTTCAGCCAAATTACGTATTTTCTATTGAATTATGTTCGATTTATTTATTTATTTATTAGATATATGGCGGTTGATAAAGATTAGGATGCGAAAATATATAATTGTACAATGGTATGCATGCCTTGGAAAGGGAATCAATTAGATGAGAGAATCATCTGTTTTATTAAGTTGTGATCATTCCCATTGGTACTATTTCTTTTAAGATCATTGCCATTTCTATCATCTCCAAATTAAAACAAAGGGCATTATTTTTTCCACTCAAAATCAAATACAATTTCTTATCCAATCCACTCTCAAAGGCTTTTTTTGCTAATTTGTTCATGAGAGATCCCAAGCCATCTAACTCAAGGTATGCTCTCTCTCTCTCCATAAAGAAACCATTGAAGTAATGAGGAAAGTTCTGAGCTTTTGACTCAAATGGAACTCAATGAAAGATGGTTCCTCAGCTTTGGTTATGTATTTGTTTCTTTTTTTGGTTGACATTAAAGAAATAAATTAACGAACTCCGACCATTAACCAAAAGATTGGAGGTTCGAATCCTCACCCACGTATTGAGGTTTGATTTGTGTGCAAAACTTGGGAATTTTCAGCAAAGAGCTTTTAGTTTTTGTTTCTTATTAATATTTTATGCCCTAATTCCCTTCTATAAAATTAGATTACAAATTGACAACGTTAGTTAGGTTTAAATAATATGTTTATAGTTTCCAACTATATATTTTAGCTTGATTTAATGACCATCCATTAAATTACAAAATTAGTATTTAAACTTTGGACATTATACCTATTTAGCTTTTGAAGTTTAAAAATATCCCATTATGTCTTTGAAATTTGGATTATATTTCTATTTTATTTTTAATATCATTAACATATAATTTATTAATTTTGATGTGATATATCCCAATTTTTAATGAATTTGGTTTAATTGACATGATCTGATAGATAACTAGACAAATTAATTGAAATGATATATGTCTGTTGTAAATTTTAGTTGGGTATATATAGAAGTGGCAAATAGTTCAATGAATAATAAGCATGTATCGTGTTAGTATTATATTAATGGTGTTAATAGCAAAGACTAGAAAGAAGCATAATTCAAAGTCTAAAGACGTAATTATTACTTTTTTAAAGTTAAAAAACTAAAGAAATGTGATGCTGATCAATCTACAAGGACTAAGTTTATAACTTAATATACAAAGTAGGAAGTAGGCGCTCTCTATTTAGCAACAAGGGATACTTAACTTGTTTCTGATAGTTGTTCTTTATTTTTTAATATTCTTGAAATCAATACCATGTGGTTTAGGCTTTTCCGATAAGTTATTTTTTATTTATTCATATTTCTAGAATCTATACCATGTAGCTTAGGTTGTGATTCCCTACCATCGGGATATGTTGTTTGGGCTAAGCAAGGTAGAGAGTACTTAAGTGCTTGCCACTCCCCTGAAGGACATTTGAGATACAAACTTATTAATTGATCACAAGTTGAAATAAAAAGAAATAATAATAATAAAACTAAGGTCCCGTTTGCATTAAACCATCATTTTCTTTTTCTTTTTTTTTTTTAATTCATACTTGATTTCTTACATTATGATCTTTACTATGTACTTTTTCACCTTTCTTTGAAAATTCACTTAAATTCTTAGCCCAATTTGATAAAAATAAACAACTTGACATCAATGTTCACCTCTCTAAAGCTTATAACTTTTTTTCTTTTTTTCTTTTTGGGTTGAATTTCAAGTTTAGCTCGGAACTTTTGAAATCGTGTTTAATTAGTGAGATGAATTTTAAAAACTGTAATATGTCTCCAAACTCATTTCAATTTCGTGCCAGCTAATAGGTCCCAAAATTGAACTTGTTGATTAATAAATGATTAGAGCTTTCAATTTTATGTCTCTAACTACTAGGTTCGTGGATTTTAAAAAACGGAACTTTTTAAATTTCAAACACATTCTATTAGATATTTTTTTAAGGTTGGATATAACTTATTCAAAATTCAAGAATTAAACTTGGGTCCCAAACAGATAAACTTGGCTGACAAGCTTTAATATTCTTTTTCTGCTAACAAAAGGRTCATGTCTCTTCTATGCCTTTATTTTTATTTTTTTCTTGGATCCCTTCTTCGTCACTTTTGCAGTCATTAAAGAAAAGTAAAAGTCAATAAAATTTATTATTATTATTATTGTTGTTGTTTAGTTGGGGTTGCAAGTTACGCAAACAAAGTCTCATATTTACTAGAGAATGAGGTGATTCATATGATATAGAAAAAATGATGATTATCTCTATTGGTCTGAGGACTTTTTGGGTAGAACCAAAAACAAAATCGCGATGACTACACCCAAAACGGACAATATCATAACATTGTAGAGATATTGGAATACGAAGGTTACCGTTATCTTCTTTAACGATTCCCAATAGTTCATGGGGATCTCTATTTAGAGATTAGATCAAACGTTAAAATTTTGTTCTCTCTCCATGTTTCTACAACGAAATTTGTTTTGAAAAAAAAAACAAAGTTTGAATAATGTATATCTTAAATTCTTGCAGAGTATGATGAAAATAGGATCACAAAGAGTATAATATATATGAGTATAGATTATAATCTTGAAATAGTAGAGAAATGTATTTGTAAAGTATATGATATTTTTAAATTTTTGTTGCACAACAAATATTAATAAGACAATGTTATGATATTGTCTACTTTAAATTTAAGTCCACATGAATTTGATTGTGATTATTTTACTCAAAATGTCTCGTATGAATGAAAATATTGCCTTTATTTATATACCACAGATCTTCCACATTTTTATTCCATGTCAAAGAGTTTTCTAATACAGCGGTTTACTTTTTTCTTCTTGATATTAATGGGTGACCTAACTAACAAAAGGATTTAACAACCACAGCTCTCCAAAAGTCAATTTTGAGTTGCTCTCTCATCATTGATTTAATTTCACAACATAAAATTTTAATCCAACTACTTCTCTCTAATCAGATCAAAGTTTTGAAAGGAAGAAAGAAAGAAAAAACTAATTATAATTTATACCTCGAAAACAATAGAAATTAAAAGAGAATTTGATCTCTAGTTGTGCTTCTTCCACCTTGAGTTTTAGGCCAAAAAAAAAAAAAGGAAATGTTATTTTTACCATTAAATTTGAGAATTTTTTTTTACGGGAAGAATCGAACCACCGATCTTGAGCAGGTAATCAAACTAGTTAAGGTTCTATTTTTCCTCTTCACTGCTCCATTAGCAGTAGTTAAATATGAAGTAGTCTCATGAATTATTATGGATGATGCAAATGAAAATTCTCAAAACATCACTTTTATTTTTTACTAAATAAATATTGGTTTTATTATAAAAAAATAGAAAATATAAATATTAGTGTATTTTGAAAAGTATTCAATAATTGTGGTAAAATATTTAGT